TATGATCAAAACTGTTTTGAAGGTCAGAATATGGCAGTGATTGTTGAAAAGTCCCCATTTAGGGGTTGTGGATGTCATCCCTTGAATGTCCTAGCGCAGAGAATCCAATAGGCCCAGTTTATGACTTGCCAGTTTTCCTATTTTCATTACATGCTGTTCAAACTTTACCATCTTACCTGGCTGATAAAGAGCTAAAATCTGGAAAGCACATGAAAAACATTTTTTCATTACATTTCATTTCTGCACAAAACTGGGGACTGAGGGAAGGAGAGCACTGAGTCAGATTCAAACTGGGGGTGTTTGGCCCAGTTTTATGTCTCCAAATCTGGTAAATGGGAGATGCTATGGGAAAAATTCTAAGAGTATGACAAGGAGAAAATCTTTTTCCATGTGCTTGAGCTATAAGACCATTTCCAGACTGAAGTCAGCTTCAATTTGTGAAATCCTTAGATTTAGCATTGCAAAACACTGCACTATCTGCCCCACTGTCCACTGCTCCAGGATGCAGTCATTTTCCAATAGGTAGTTGGGTTGAGGGCACCCATATAGGGCAGGGAGAGCTCTTTGTAGCCTGGAGATGGCCAAATGGGGTCATTTGGCCTTGTGAGGCTCCTAGCTAACAGCTTTGCTCCTTAGTGACAGAATGCCCCTACAAATGGGACAATGCAAGTTTGTGGCTCCTGTATCCCTGTCTGGGGTTTGGTCCAGGTTGAATCAGGAGGTGCCTTTGCTTCTCCTTCACTCCTGCAGCTACCTTGGCATTTTTCAGAATTCTTTTAAAATTGCATTAGGAATAAGGTGGTTTCTTACCCAATTATCCTGACAAATGGTTATTTATATGAAGCAGAGCATTTCCCACAGAGAATTCCACCACCAAACACCCCATACACTAGTGCTCTGTATCTTGCCTTGGGTGGAAGGTGATGTTCTTCTCACCAGACTGTAGTAGGTGACTACAAGGGGTAGGAAAAGGGGTAGGAAGGCTTGAATTCTGCTTCACAACATTGTGCCTGACTATTTCAGGATTTTTTTTTTTAATGTAAAAGCTTTAGTTTGACCACAAAGCACAACAGGAAAAATCCTCAGCCTTTCCAACATGCTCCCAAGACAGGATGCCCCTTTTCC